AATTCAATGACTTTTTCATTACTATTCAAACAACCCTCTTGTAGAAAATTACCATCGATCAGATGATTGATCAGTTTAAATAACCACACATGACATTGATTAGGTTCAGTTGATAATTGACTTAGAAATTCGTAATCATTTTCAAAATGTTCTTTACAATAGTCACGATTAGGTAAATCTGAATCATCTAACAAATCGAGTTCATGTAAAACAAGTAAAACAGCATGAATCATCATATGAATAAAACGAAATGAGATAGATAAATTAAGATGATCAGGTTTCTCATTCATACTACTGTCTTGTACAGATTTCATACTAGGATAACCAAGCCGTGATTTATCATTGGATTGTCCGCTTTCAATTGGATTATTTGATATGAGACCTGGTAAATATATGGAATTCGTCAAATGTTCTGCATAATTTCTTGGCATTTTGAGTTTCTCATTAAAGAGAATATTGCTAAGATAAGTTGGTTTCTTAAAAGCTTTAGAAGATAGAAACACAACAATAATATTGAGTGCAAGTAGACGCCGATACAACTGGTCTGCAGTCATTGTTTGATTTAATTGAAAGTAAGAATTATCACGGAAATTTTTACACAAGCAATGCCATAGTTTAAAACCAATAGGCTCCAGAGACGCATTCAATTCCGTATGTAGTTCGTCGAAAAGGTGTTCTAAGTCATTATTTCGTATGTTCATTTTGTAGTAATTCACATAGTAATGCACGAAAACCATGAAAAAACAATAGGGTGACTGCAGGTTATCTGAACATTTGCCAATTAATTTTTTCAATTTATTTACTTCTCTACAATTGTCAAGTGTATCTTTGATATTTCTGTATTCCAGAGAAGCATCAAATAGAGGTGTTGGAAGAATNAATTTTCGTCCTTGTTGGTGATCATATTGTCAAAAGGTCGTTCTAATCCAATAACAATTACGATTGATAAAAACTTCATATAATTCTGCAAGATCAATATGATAAATTTGACATAATTGTTTAATAATATATATTTTTAAAGTCAAACAAAATTTAGACTCATCCGTTGTCAGAAGTTTATCAATATTTTCCATTATCTCGCTATGATTATCTTTACTCAAAGAAAATGCATACATTTCAGTATAAACTTTAAGCCAAGCAATCGAAATAATCATTGAAAGTCCATAATTAGATTTATTACTATGAATATTCTCTTGAAAGTAATTATAATTATCAATTAAGTATCTTTCAATCATGTGTTCATCAGTAATACAACTCCTAAGGTATACATGTATACGATTGATCAAAATACGTTCAATTTTTTGTGTTTTATCATTTGATTGACGAAAATATTGATCAAGACATTCAAGTTCAGGTATAAATGATAATTCTGTCATTCTAATATTTATTATTGACATTAAATCAAACTTTTGATCGATATATTTGAATATTTTAGCTGAATAAAACCATAAATTCTTTTTTGACTTACAAATTGATTCAAGAACAGTACAATATTCTTTACTATGATCAATTAACCAATTTTTTAAAAATTCCACTTCAAGTTTGAGCATTGGTCGACAATTTAATAGATTAATTGAATTTTTATTTTCATTTTTGATCATTTCATCCAAATTATCGATAAATTTATGAATGCTTTCGCATGTCGAAAAGTTACCATTGAAAACAATATTACTCTGATTATTGAGACAAATATTTTTAAAAACAATTAAAGCTCGATCATGAGGAATTAGATTCATAATACAACGAACAAGACTATCGAACGAACGCAATTTTTCTAGATTATTAACTAAGTAATGATCGAGAACGAATACACCTTGTATAATAAGACTATATGCAGTTGATAACTGTGCAATATTATCAATACATTGAATAGTTGATGAAGAAACAAGTAATTCGATTAAATTCATCAAACATGTTTCTATAAATGGATCACCATTACATTCATAAAGTTCATTATTTAATGATTTTTGTGGTGGAACTTGATAAAATTCTTGTTCTACTTGAACAAGAATATAGAGATTACTCGAATTATTAATTGTTGTCATTTTTGTTTTGTCTGAAATAAAAAATTGTTCATCGAAATTCCATTTTTCTTCACCAATAAGTTCCATACCGATCTCGAATATATGTAATAATTCAATTAATTCATCCCGATACATAAGAAAATGTTTAAGTTTATCTTCGATAGTTAACATTGGATTTGATGTTAACAAACGTTGTGCAAATGAAACAGTTAAATGATCAATTCGTATTTCATCTAATAGAATTGCAAGTTGATCATGATAATAATGTTCAAATAATTCTTTATTATTAAGTATACGTTCAATATTCTTTCCATAGACACTTGTATTTCGCAGTCTTTTCATTGCAAAACATAATAATTTCTCATCAGGAAGATTAACATCAATATTTTCGTTGGGTTTTTTAATCATTTGATTTATTTGATGAATAATCTCATGTTCGAATCTTGAACGAGGTAGACGAAGATCAAAAATGAGTAAAATTTCAATTGTATTCATAAATGTAATTGTTTGTTCCATAGATTCAAATGTTAATTTCAAACAATCAAACCAAATACATTTTAAATTTTCATATATAATTTCATTTGTTTTCGACATAAGAAACATATATGAATCTATTAATGAAGATTTTTCAATATCAACTAAGAGCATTAAAAAATAATTACAATAATAGAGTAATATTGTCATTCTCAAAGCATCATCAATTGAACGACATGAACCAATAATTGTTCCATTAGTGAGTAAATCATAACGCCAATCAATAAATCCAGAACGAGTATGATTTATATCAACTGTTCGTATCAATTCCAAGAGGCGATTTTTAATTATCAAATAAAGAGATTCAGTATCGATACTTGATTGAGTCAATAATTTAATTATAGAATCACGTCGATCATTAATTAAACTTTCTTTATCTTTACATGCAACTGTATATCGAGCTCTTATGAAAGATCGAGTAATAAGTTCATTGAAAGTAGTGTGCGATAGAGAAAAATCTGCATGAAGTAGAAGATTACGATATGAAGGATTACTTAAAACATCCCATGGTATAAGTTTGTGTTTATTAAGATTATCAATCATAACCGATGACCATCCATTAAACAAAATATCATCGTTGATTTCATGTATGATATTACGTTGTAAGTGAAATATTAACCATACTCCATGATCACTGGTTGGTATTCTCTCGTTTGCTACGAGATATTTGAGAAATAGAATATGTTTATGTTCTTCATGATAATCAACACGAATAAGTAATAGACGAGCTTTAATTGATCGATAGTGTTCCTTAATTACTCTTCTTAATTCAAAATCACTCTTAAAATTACCTACTTTAACTTCAACAACAAGATCATTATTGTTTATATATTCAATTTTTTCATATATTTGTGTATAAGTATAAACAACTTGATTTGAAATTATTGTTTGATTTAATGTTTGATTAATTAAATCTGAAAATGAAAGATTCTTATGTATATTATAATATTGTTCAATTAATTTTCGAATATTATCATCATCATTAATTTTACATGATAAATGAAGAGGAAAATCAAATGAACTTGTACGAATTAATTTCTGTTTACAATATTGAATAACTACATCTTTTTGATTTTCATTATCATATTCAGAAATTTTTAAATAATCAAATGCATCCATAACTAAATTAGTAATATAATCTGGATTAAAATCAACAAAAAGATGTTTTTTTTGTGGAAAATTTTTATTTGAATTGTATAATAATAATAATTTATCAATCCATTCTAAGAGATTTGATGCAATCATTAAATGACATGAATGAATAAGACTTTCTATATCAATGATATGTTTTTCGAAACGATTGAGAAAAGGTGGATCACATTTTATTAAATCTTGTTGTCGAATAAATATTACACAAAAGAAATCATCATGAATAAGAAAACGTGGATGATAGAGATTACCAAGTGTAATACGACAATATTTTTTACTTCCTGATACATCAAAATTTTGATTGAATAAATCATAAAGATTTGCATATATATGATCCATTCGACGCATTATCAAAGTTACATTTGTTTCAGCATGAAGAATTATATCCATTAATATTCTTCGATTATATAGTTCGCTATAGGTTGTACCAGCAATAAAATCATCTGTTAGAGAACTACCAATTAATGTTTGTATTGATTTCTGTTTAGCATTAATATATCGTTCGACATAATCGAACATACTTTCATTTTCTCCGATTAACATTAAATATCGACCATTATGCAATGAAAGAGATCGATCAATCATTTGATTAAATGTTGGTGGTTGTTCTTGTTCGATTAAATATTCTTGATGAGAATATTTACAAAAATTTTTCCATAAAAATTGTGAACCATCAAAAATTCCATCAAAATTAATTGCTAATTGTCGTCGAACACATGCATAAGATTCTTGTTCAGTTGATGCATTTATTAAATCATTTACAACTCCTTTGATCAAAGAATAAAAGTCACGTAGACCAAAATAATTTTTATATTTAGGTTGTTCATTAATATGTTTGTATAAATCAAAATAGGCAGCAGCAAGATTTTTGACTATTGAATTATCAATTGGCATAGTTCGATTAGAATTTGCAAGTAATGAAGATGCTATAGTTTCTGCTGTTAATCGTAAATCATCTACATTTGGATCTGCACAAGATAAATACAATACACGATTCATTTTAGCTGCATCGAGACACCAATTCGATATACCAACAAACCCATATCTACATGTTTCTATTTCTAATTTACTGTGAAGCACTTTCAATGGATTGTGTGAAGATAATTCAGCAAGACCAATTTCATCAAAGACAATCACTGGTAAAATATCACTATTATTCTCAATATCTAAATATTTTTCAGCACGTTCAAATAATTTTATAACATTTTCTGAAGTACAGTTTTGTGAACCTTGATATGAACTAGGAACCAATTCGGGCAATGTGTGAAAGAGTTTTTGATTGGATCTTTTTCCTTTCAAATTATTTAGAATAATATTGACAGCCAATGTTTTACTTGAGCCAGGTTTACCACATAGAATAACTGGTATTCGGTTTAAAATACATGCGAAAAGAACAAAGATATTATCGATAAGTGCTCGATTAATGGCCGTACCCGGTGGTAGTTTGATCTTGGTCATTAAATTCTTTTGTTGTTTTTGTAGTAATCTAGTTAAAAACGTTGGTACATGACTCCAGTTTCGAAATTTGTTCTTGAGCACCACTGAAATGTTATTCAAATAGGACTCTCGCATTTCGAAGGAACTAAGACGAAGATAATACGTAAGAAGAAGAGCAACGAGAGTTGTTTGTTCAGTAAATTCTTGATTCGAAATTCTAACATTTTCATACATGAATTCACGAGGCAAGTTTAGAAGCCAATTATAAAATCGACAGAAACGTGCAACATCACGTAGAGATACACTACTTGTGTCTTCATTTACACGAAAGAATTGCTGCGATATTGCAACTAATGATACTGTATAATCGTACCATGATGTTTCATTTGCAAGTTTATTACATTTGTTTAGCATTGTTCGAATATAGACAATTTCTGTTTCTCCATCGAGAAATCCATAATCCCAAATATACTCAAGCATTGTTTCAGGAATTGGAACTACGTGATATATTAAAGATTCTCTACCTAAATGAGCATTCAACCGTTGAATATCATAAGGATTTTTTTTTATTCCAATATTATCATGAAGAATATTTGTTGTCTTTGTCCATCGTTGTGGATTACATGCTCCTAAGAATATCATGTTGTCCGGTAGTGGTTCGCCGAGAAGTGTTCGTTCACAAATAATCTCTTTGAATAGACCAATAGAAGAAGTAGTATTGAATTCATCGAAGAATACCCACAAACGTTTGTTTTTATTGTTATTTAAACATTGATTTGCTTTTATTTGAAACTCGAACATTTTCTCGACGATTGTTTCGTTTGTAATACCAGCATGTATACGAAAAACAGCTAATTCATCGTCAAGAATCTTTTCGCATAAAAACTGAATCAATGCTGTCTTACCACATCCTATTGACACAAAAACAGACTTATGCTATATAATTATTTTCATTATGAAATAATAAGAATTGCTAAGACTTTAAGAGAGACTGCTACTTTTCAAAAAAAAAAAACGATTCAAGATGTGTATAAGTATGAAAACGATAGCTTCAACTGTATACAAATCTTAGATCGTTACTTTGTAGAAAAAGGTTCAATGTGAATCATTCGACCGTCAATAAATTATCAAAGATTACTCTTCTATGGATATATCCATTGTCAATCTTGATTCATACTTAGAAACTGATTTATTTCGATTAGTAACAACGATACATCTAGCATTTCTAATCATTTTATTCATGGTGTTGATGTAATAATGTTGACTAAAGCAATGACATGCATACAAGTTTATTACTCTATTTTTTTATAGCCATAGTCAGTCGGCTGTATTTATATAAAAATGTGGATATTTCTTATTTTGATACAACTATATAGGAAATCAATGATTCTCTATCAAAACATAATGTTCATTTGTTTCATGAATATAGATCCGAGAGAACTAAAGAGTATAGGTTTCTTAGGATAATGGAAGATTGCATGGATACTTAATATTACCTGTTTCACCGATAAGTATAACAGGAAGATGACATTGTACCCGTAAATATATTAATAGTGCTTTAATATAATTATCTGCTGTCCATATATACTCTTTTTCGAATATATTTGCAATCTTCAATTGAAATTCCATGATATCTGAATCTTTGAATTCTTTTTCTTTTATAGGTCGAAGTAATTTACTTTTGGTTCCACAATTTATACATATTTCATCGTCGTATTCATGCTGCTTAAAACAAATGTTACACACTGATTTAATAAAATATTTTGTTGATAATGATGCAAGTCTTATGAAGAAATCCGAATGTTTGAGCTTGTTATGATCTGGAAATAGTAATTCTTGTTGTTTTTGTTTTTTTTCTTCAACATTGGATCTATTCAAAAATAAAAATCTATCAAAAAAACGTTTTCGAACTGGTATTGTAACTGCATCAGTTAGTGAACGTGGTACATCATTTGTTTTTTTATAGACAAATAATGGATCATTCGAATCAGTAAATATAACTGTAAATGGTTGTAATTTATCCCATCGAATAATTGCTTCGTCCAGTTTAAGATTAGCATTGTTTTTTGAACGTTGATTTTTTCGTACAGATTCAACTGACAACGATGTAAATTGATCAGATGAGTTCAATAGATGTTGAAGAATATCCATGCGAAGTGATGAATCTTTTGTAAATTCAGAAAGAAAATAGCCAGATTTGGAGAAACCCGAAAATAAATAATGATATATTGTCACTAAAATTTTTAGTTGTGTCCAACTGATTTGTTTATCATCTTTGTGGCTCATAAATTGTTCTTGTAAGAGTTTTGAACAAGTAACTGTATCGAGTTTTGTCAATGTTTGTTCATTGATATCTACTCGATTGATTTTGTTATCGTAGATTGATTGAAGATAATTAACAACTAATTGAATTCCTGATAAATGATTAATATCCATTTGCTTCCAGTCAATACGAAAAATTCCAATTTTCTCAAGATTTTGTAAAATAATTATTTTCTCAAATAGACTCGTCATTTGTGGAGATGAATCAAGTTCGATGTATATTGGTACATCAACATCAACATTGATAGCCATTGATTCACAACGAAAACTACGAAATAGTATAACAGAATATAGAAATTTATTTAATTGGTTAATATCATGAATAACGCCAATATCGATATGAATAGCTATTTTTGATGATGATGATGAATCATTTACACAATTGCAAAAACGTGTCATCAAACTTTCCATATCGATGTTACCACTAATCGGAAATTTGATGTGTTCTTTACCAGAATTATGTATTATATTTCGGATGGTAGTCGATTTGCCAAGACCAGCAATATGCGATGTGACGAGAAAACAATTTTTTTCATTTAATTTCTCAATTTCTTCTTTGAGTTTTGTTTTATTCAACATTTGATAATCATAGATCTCGTGGACAAGTTCTAAAGCTTTCAAACTATTAATTAATTGCTGATTTATATTTGATGATGTAGTTATAATTCCAAATTGAAAATGACGATCTGGTTGTGAACGAATCATTTGATGTAAAAGTTCAATAAACTTATCCTGAACTGATAATGTTAACAGTTCCGGTCGAATGAGTTGATGAAATTTTTCTGAATAGAAACAACGATAGGCAAATGCTCGCATTTCCATCCAAGTTGTTCTTTCTGTACAATAAAATAATTGATTAAATCTAGCTGATACTTGAACAAACGTAAAAAGAGAAAGTATAGCACGCATGATACCTTCATCGGATGTTTGAACTAATAGTATTGTATTATTAGTCGGAAGTTTTTGTTCAGCTGTTTCTATTGATTTAGTTTTTTGAATTGACAATACTTGACCAACTTTCTTAAGACGATTCACCGGATCTTCGTTCATATCGAGTAGGAAATCGTATTGAATTAGTTCAGGCTGTATGCCAATATACTTAAGCAAATGATAAGCATTATTGATAAATATTGTTCGATTGTATAAATAACGTTCAATTATCCAAAATTGTTGATAAAAAAAATAAGTTAATGATATATGTTCTTTGTATAATTCACATAAATGATATTCCCATTCAACTCGTAATTTTTCAATTGTCTGTTCAAATTCAATCAATTCATTATATTTACCTTCGATGCATGTAAAAGTTTTGCTTGATTCTAGAAGAGATTGAACACAAGGATAACCAACCATATTGAGTTGTGTCAAGTTTTTGATTATATTTTCAATAGTATCAACAAAAGAAACGAATGAATGAAGCATTTCAGTATCTTGTTCTGTATCATTTTGTGTTTTAAGTCTATTAGAATATTCGATAAGTCGTGCACGATCACGAAGATCACTAAGTTCATTGAAATTTATTGTAATGTCATAATTATAATTTAATTCATAAGATTCTTTGAGTTCTTGTTGACCAAGACTTTTAAAACTAAATGAAATATTTTTCATAATGTTTAAAATTTGTCGTCGTTTTGAAAGTCTCCTATCTGTCAAATTCATATAAATATGTTGGATGCTAGGTAATAATAGATGACAAGACTCGAAGTATTCAAATATTATTTTTGATTGATCATCTTCCAATAAACCTTCAAAACAAGCTGTAATTTGATCCAATGTAAGAATCGATGATGATTTTTGTTGAATCCTTTTTATTCTATCATTAAGTTGATCTAGAAATGTTTTCAATATGACTAAATCGAGAACTGTTTTTGTATTGATTAATGTTTCATCCCAATCATTAACTGTTTCACGTAGATTGTCAACATCGGATGTAGAAAGAGGATAAAGAAATTTTATAAGCTCAATGGCTGAATCATAGTAAAAGAACATTTTGTTCATTTTTGCTGAGTAACGATCATAAAAATGCTGACGAAAAGTTTGATAAATGGTTAAAAAAGTTTTCCCATTGGTATTTTCATTCATTTGTAATACATCAGTAAGCATAGTTTTACTATCGTCAAGTTGAATTTGAAATAGATCAAATAAATTTATGCATCCTTGGCAAATATGATTAACATGACTCAAGTTTTTACTATAGTCGAATAATGTTGTGAAAAATTCAATAACATCAACATTAAATTTATGTTTTAAGGGGCCCAAGTCATTATACATGTTAGGAAAAAGTTTGCTTGATTGTGAAATAGGTAGAATTTCCCACTTAGAACAATTACGTATCAATTGATCGATAAATATATGAAATAGTTTTGCATCCGCTTGTAAGATTGAGAAACAAGATTTTGAATGAGATAAAGAGAAATCATCATCTTTTCTTTCAGGTTCAATCTTTGTTAAATCTATTTCTTCACTAGTCATAACAGCTGTGTTTAAATTTTGATAGTTTGTAAGAAAACTTTGCCAAAGTTGACATTTCGAGTATGGCATGAGTTCTTGAGCGTATTTAGCAAGTGCTATAATCTCTGAATGGATTTCAACAGAACATACAGGATCTGTCATAAGCTGTTTTAGTATGTTTTGTGCATGATTAACAAGATCTTCTTTATCATTTGCGTTTTGACAATATTCACTGACACACGATTGAATCATTTCACAAATACTTTTCTTAGCATTTAGTTCCTTGCTGGCTTCTTCAAGCATTATTTCAAATGAGCATTGTCTTTGTTTTATCACTTGAATCAAGTTCCACAAATGATTGGTTATTTCTCTTTGTTCACTGTTTTGCTTTTCCCAAGCCAATATATAATTAGCACATAATCCGTATTCTTCCCAGGATGTCCACATAGTGCCCATTTGTTGAACAACTTTCACATAAATAGATAATGTTCGAAAACAATCATTAAATAAGACAGAGTAAATGAATGTTGATTTCATTGGTCGTACGAACGTATCCTCAAAAATATCTTTTTCGGTAATAGTAATTTTTTCCAATGTTAGTTCAATCAAGTCGTACATAAATTGACTATCATGTTTATTATTATTATTATTATTAATTTCAATTAATTGGCGTAATGGATTCTCATACACGTCCATGCGCTTCAAATCGTCAGATGTCGAATTGCTTAAAACTACTTCCAAAAATTTGACTTTGAACTGATCGATAAAGACTTGATTTGTTATAAATATGAGTCCAGTTTCAAGCATAGGAAATGGCGAGCCTGTATGATAAAGAACATAGTAATGGTACTACTAATTTTCGTGTACAATTTGTTGACAAATATGTCAGTAGGGAATAAAACTAATTGAGTACAGTTTACAATCCCGGCATGATTATTTGGATTGATCATCTATACAATTTTGTCCTATTCGTGTATTATCTATCTGGTAATCCTAGAAACTTTTCTCGATTGAGTTTTTTCGAGAAAATTTTAACTGAAATCTGTACATAGGTAACAGTTATCAACAGATCGTTTTATCAATCTTGGTTGTGTAGAAAAACGTTCGTATGTATTCAAGAGATATTCAGGTAAGCTACGCTTTATTCTATGTATGACTGATCATACTTCGATAGGTACGTTACACATTTTAGTACTATACGATAATCTATTGTAAGAAACGTTGTCAAAGAAAGTTTAAAACAATGGTTCGTGACATCACTGAAAGTGGAATAGCAAATTGTTGATAGAATTTTTGCTACTTGAATGGCTTTCGATTTTATATTTAACAGATTCATCTAATCGAAATATGTCCGCGGAAAAAAGAAACTGCACTCGGTATTTTAAGGAAATCTTTTCTATAAGAAGATATTTTTTAAAAAATTATGATATATTCTGAAAGCGCGTGGAGTTTTCTATCAGCCTGTATATTTGCCTTTTCCTTTGAATATATGTTTTACCAAAAACAATTGAGTGTAATGAAGACAGCCTCATATCCAGATTCCCACAGGCTTGATTTTGTCACTATCACCAAAATTAGTTTTTAAAATTTTTCATCAATATATAATTACCTTTTGAAAAAAGTAATTATATATTCTGATAGAGCTTGAAATTCTCTATCATCCTG